TCCAGTTGTAGACTCGAGTATAAGCCGAGGCGGCTTTTTTCAGCCCAAAAAGTGGGCTGAAAAACTCGGCTTATACTCGAGTATATACGGTAGGTTTTACTTTTGAATAGTCTTACATTGTAACATTGCAAACTATTAAGTACACAGATATAACATGATGCCACCAATTGATAAATTCCACGGAGAATCTTAAACCTTGGAGAAAATAAATATTTTTAAAATCCCATAATTTTTTTGTGCGAGAGTCCCCATGCAATATTCACACACAAGAGAGATTGTATATATAGTATTTTAATACTTGGTCTCAATGGAGTTTATTCTTACCAAGCATCAAGTGACTGAAGAGACACATTAAAGCAAATGCTATAGGTTAGATAGTACAGGTAGTCCTCGACTCACAATTGAGCCCAACATTTCTGTTTCTAAGCAAGATAGTTGTTAAGTGAGTTTTGTCCCTTTTTACCTTAAGTTGGTGGCATGATTAAGTGAATCTGACTTCTTCACTGACCTTGCTTGTCAGAATGTCACAATCACATGGCACTGTACCTGTCATAAAGTCATAAGTCCCTTTTTTAAGTTCTAACTTTGAATGGTTACTAAATGAATGATTGTAAGTCAAGGACTACTTGGTATCTCTTCAAGGGACAAATATGACCAGAAATAAGTCAAATGTGCCACACACCTATAAATACAGTGACCATATATCTTCTATTATATTAAGAGGCAGCCTTTTATTTTAGAAAGGTGTCCTTTAGATTTATTTATTTTCTTGGTTTTGGTCTTGCATTTTCCGTTGTAAAACTAAGTTACAAACAGTTATTCTTATGAACTTCTTCCAGATTTTACACCCTTTTTCATGTTTCTCCTTGATTTTCCCACCCCAAAAATATGGTCATTGTACTTATAAATGAAATTGGGGGAGGGGGGAAGAAACCACCCTACATTTGTGCATGCAGTGGTACAATAACATTACAGTAAGTTAAGGCTTCTCCTCCAGACTCACTTAAGGCTCTACAATATATATATTTAAGAGGAAGCCCATGCTGCTTCCGGGTTGATGCTTGGCTTCCCAGGCTAGTTGAGCGCCCGAGGCCTTCCGGGTGTTTTCCTAGGGAAATACAATCATGGGGGAGGGGGGGGGACGGGGGACAGCCCCTGTTAAGGCAACAACAACAAAAGCAGGCCTGAATGGCCAAGCGCTGCCGAGAAACCCTTCCACATTGCCGGGGGCTTCCTGCAACTCTGTCTCGGTGGAGGCAAAACCGACTGCGAAGCCTCGGCGTTGGAAAAGACCGGGCGGGGACGGCGATGCCGAAGCCGATCCTTGCGCGCCGGCCACGGGGCTCACCTCCTGCAACGAGTCGGGCACGGCGGCGGGGACGATGGGCCTCTTGGTGCCGCGCTGTTCTTTCTCCTTGTCGCGCTCTTTGTCTTTCCCGTTCTCTGCGGCCGCCGCAGCGGCGGCAGTTTCACCCTTCTCCGCCTGGGTCATCTTCTCGTTCTCCCGCCAAGCAAAGCCAGGACTCCTCCTCCGAGAGAAAGCGGCGGCGACAGCAGACGGCCGCCCCTGCCTCAGCGGCGAGGCGGCTTGGAGGAAGCTGGACCGCGGTCCCTCCGGGCGATCAAAATGATCCCGGGGTGGTTTTACTTCCCGCTAACCGGGAAACAAGCCGCCGCCGAACACGGCCGGTATTATTATTTTTTACTTAAGGAGCCTTCTCAAAAGGGCCCTTCCTGGTTCCTATTAACTCCCCGTAGGCGCATCGAAACAGCGAAGGCTGGTCAGAGGGGCGGCCCTTCTGTTGCCGGTTGGTGCGCATCCGGCACTCCTCCAGGGAGTGCGTTATTTTAAAAGTGGGTGGAAGCCAGAACTCAGCTTGACACCTTTAACAGATTAATAAGGTTGGAAGGGACCTTGCAGGTCATCTAGTCCAACACCCCCACCCCTTCCCAAGCAGGAGACCTTAGGCCATTTCTGGCAGGTGACAGTCTCTTCTTGAAAGCTTTCAGTGATGAAGCTCCCACAGTTTCTGAAAACAACTGCAAGGCTTAAGTAAACATTGGGCCCCTGAAAAGATTTTGTTTAAAAAAAATATCTTTATTTTAGGGGAGGCCCAAAACGGGTTCAGGAGTGGTCCACAGAGTTTGCAATTAAGTGTAATCAGATTTCACTCTGCTTTGCCTTAGGTAGTGTTGCTTAACTTTGGTCACTTGAAGCTGTGTGGACTTCAACTCCCAGAATTACTATGCTTCCTAGCATATTCCCACAGGTACAGGGTCTGCTTTTCGGATCATTGAATGCCACTTTGTGCGGTCAGCTGCATTTCCCCGGTTTGCATGTCTTTATTGGTGGTGTCTCACCATCTTTGTTTTGGACGCCCACGAGGTCACTGACCATTGATTTCTAGCAGGTAGGCTGTCTTGGCAACTGAAAGTGATGCTCTTTGGACATGTCCATACTAGTGGAACCGGCCTTCTCTCTTCTTCTCCATAAATTGGTGCCACACCAAAGTGTTGTCGGATGGTGTCATTTGTGATGTGATCAAGAAGGGAGATGTCTGATATCCAACAGCATTTGCATTTCATGGCATGAAGGTAGCTTTCAGCCAATATTGAGGAATTCTGGGACTTGAAATCCAACCAAAACTTGCATCTGACTCTGTGCATGGACATTCCTATTAAAAAAATACCTGAATTTTGGTTTCTTGGGTATTTCAGCCAAGATGGTTTTTTTCCCCCTTACTTTTTAAACTGAGTTCAGGTGCTTCCTACTAGGAATCACCCTAGAACATTTGAATATCTTTTATTTAACAAGACAGTTTTATTACACTAACATGGCATGAATTTGTTTTGTATTGGAAACCAACAGCAAGCAAATGATGTAGCCTTTAGAAAAATATGCAAACTTTCTTGCAAGTTTTAAAGGGGAAAAACCCTATGTTCTTCTGTTGAATCATTATTTCAAGCCAGTCATCTCTCTTATTGCTAAGATGCCCATATCACCTACCAGGTTTCCTGCTCCACTTTTAATGCCACAGGAGAAAACAACAACAAAGATTGCTGAAAGAATGGCATTACTTGTACCATCATATTTAAAAAGAGAACAGAAAAATTGTAAGATCTTTGAAGTTTATTAAAGTTTCCTAAGGCTGTACAGCACATATGAAAAAAGAGTTTTACAAATGCACTAACACCAGCAAAGCTCATTTCCTTAAAGCAGAAAAACAGCTGTCTCCTTTGGAAAGCTTTCCTTGTTGACTGGCTGTGGATTCATATGCAGACATTTCTACTGGGACTGCTAGCACAGCTGTACCTGTATCCACATATGCAAATAGCCAGAGGCAGTCTTTGAAAAAGCTATGTCAACGATGTAGGACTTTACCACTTCAGAGGTCAGGAGCTGCAGCTTACTTTTGCTACTATATTTTACAAAGCACTCTTTAAATGTTTTATCCAGCCCCTGTAATGGTCCCTTTTAAAATCAGGTTTATATCCACTTTTAAATACAGGTAATCCTAATGCAATACTACTGTATGTCATCATTTGCCAGCTGCATTCTTTTCTATAGATCCAGTCAACTTCCGAACTGTCATATACAATATTCAGCATAAAAAAGAGCAATATACAGAAGCTGGCAGAAAAATACAGAAAAAAACCTCAGCATATACTACATCGTTAAAGAAACTTACTCAAGAAATAATTTTTTTAGAAGGCAAATTCCAGCATAAAATTGAATTAAATTGTTCCAGAAAACTTTTTAGAAACTTCCTCCGTAATGGTCCTTACACATAAATTGAACTTTCACTCCCATACATAAACAGAATGAAACATTAATGGAAACTGAGTTGAGTCTCAAATTCTTGAATCGCATTAGGCTTTGCAAATAAGTAGAGTTACCAGGATTTAGTGTAAGAATTTAGTGATCATGATAAATGTATTTTTATTTATAAATTTATTTATCGACATAAATTGCAATAAGGTCAGTTTTTAGATTTGGGATTTAACATGGCAATGAAGAGGTCAAAATGAAACAGGTCATAAACTATAAGTAACACAGTTAATGGGGAAAAACAATGGGAATTATAGTTTTGAAATAGCTAGATGTCCACAGATGGTTTGCTGACTTTAAGCCACAATCAATTACTTTCAAGACACCATTTTCCTTCAAAAAATAACAGATACCCAAGATTGGGAGTGGGTGGGGTTTTTTAAATTAGATTTAAAAAAAGAAGTTGAACCTGTAATAATCTCGCCAAAAGCATTTTAAGGTATATAGATTGAGTAGGATGTTACAAGTAGTTCAAGCTTGTAGCATTGTTCATGATCTTAATATACATATTCTGAGATTATTCTTTAAGTCTTCATGTGCATAATTTGTCCATTCTAAAATATATTGATTGCAATTAAATGATTCCAACTCAGTATTTTGCAAAGTCATGTATTTCCGTAACTTTACAACTATCACAAAACATCCATCAGCTATACAAAAGGCTTAAAACAGACAGTAAACAGGAGCATTTAATTTAATAGAAACTGCATTTCAGTTACACTGGATCCTAGAAAATGGAATTCCCAGTACAACTTCATTGTTCTGCTGATTCACAGAGCAGTCAAATCATTTAGACAACATATTTGCAACTCTCAGATCCCTTTGCTGCATTCTTGATCAGGTTCTTTTAGTTATGCAAATATGAAGTCTGATGCCTGCTTCTTAAAGCAAGCATTTACCTATGGAGAAAGAAAAGAGAAATTGATTAAGGTACCGTATATACTCGAGTATAGGCCGACCTGAATATAAGCCGAGGCACCTAATTTTACCACAAAAAACTGGAAAAGTTATTGACTCGAGTATAAGCCTAGGGTGGGAAATGCAGCAGCTACCGGTAAATTTCAAAAATAAAAATAGATACCAATAATGCCATTGCCCATTGAATAACATATACAGCCTGCCTGTGCCCATTAAATATACAGTAGCCATTGTAAAAATTTGCTCTGCATAACAAATTATTATCACACAATACCGGTGTATTCAATGAAATACTTCACTCACCTCATGATGATGATGTCCCGCTGTGATGATGATGTCCTGCCTCCTATGACACACGGCACAGTGATTCCTATCATTGGATCACTGTACCAGAGGAGGTGGGACATCGCTATGTGGCAAATTTTTCACTGACTCGAGTATAAGCCGAGGCGGCTATTTTCAGCTCAAAAAGTGGGCTGAAAAACTAGGCTTATACTTGAGTATATACAGTATTTGTTTGTTCACAGTTACTGGTAGCTGTTATCTAAAATATTTTCAAAACCTGAAAAAGCCATTTTAAACTTGCTTTGCTTTACATAGTAATACACTTTCTACATCCTTTCTAATAAATCTATTTATGATATTGACATAAGTAAACTTTCAAAGGAGGCGACCAACAATCACATTGATCTTACATACTTCTAAGTAGAATGTTAGTGCTAACTAAAATATGCTTAAATTGTATTCCAATGTTGTTTGGCATAAAATTGAATTTTAGGGTATTCAACATTAATCACCTATGCTAATGTAATACAATAGAATACTAAAAATTTCCATAGTGGAAGAAGTCTGATAAATGGTTCTGATATAAGATTCTCTTTCCCTTCTCTCCCATAAAACAGGTTCTCAAATGTAAATTTATTTGATTAAAAAAAAAAAGTAAAGTAGCTTGTTGTCTAAATAAATTGACTGGATTAGGATTGAACGTTAATAACAAACACTGTTATTTCTGATAGCTCTTAATGGGCTTTTACTCATGATATTTCTGATAACTTTTAATGGACTTTTGCTGACCAGGATTGAACGACAAAGTTCTGAGGTTCTGTTTATAGATAAAAAATGAGATATGGAATGAAGATATATTGTTCGTTGTATTTTTAGAGAAAGTGATAGGTTAAATTACTTATACTTGCAACAAAGGCAGATGTTACTTTCTTTTCTATTTCTTTTTCTTTGCTATATTCTTGCTCTTTTCTATTTTTCCTTTTATTTTTTCCCTCCGTATTCTATTTTTTCTTATTATTTTATGTTTTGTAATTTGAAATTAGTTTTTATCTGTATAACTATAATCTTTAAAATTCAAAAAAAAAAGTTTGTAACATGCATTACATTCTTTGCTCTCTCCCCTATAAAACAGTTGCTCAAATTTAAAACTACATTGGTGTGTCTTTGATATTCTCAGATAAACTCTGCATGATAGCAATTTAAAACAGGATTAAAGATTAACCTTCATTTTAGGACAGAGTTATTTACTGAACAGCTTTAAGTACATTCAAAATACTGTTCTTTTCTAACAAGGATAATATATAATTCAGTGAACATCATAGTACTGAGTGCTTGGCAATGTACCTGCAGTGTATTTCTACATATTCTCAAAAGTATATAATATAGAGTGCCCCAAATCAGGAAATTACAGCAGGGGAAGGTTGCAGAACGAAAGGGAGTATCATGCATTTCTTTGTCAATTTATTTTACTGATTATATTACAACTAGTCCTTGTTTAGGGACAAGGACCCCGATTGGGACCACTATTACGCAAAGCAGTGGATAAGTGTAACCGCAACTCTGCTCATGATCTTACTTCAGCTTTTCTTATCTTTGCAGACCTGTGAAGATGGCAAATACAAGAATTGGTTGCAAAGTTTCTTTTTATCACCATGATAACTGCGAATAGCCACTGTGTGAGACAATCGCTAAACAAGGACTACCTATACTAAGAAACATAGGATGTTATACATGTAAGATATATCCATTCCTATTTTTCCTAATCTCAAATCATATTTTATGTAATATACATTTACCTTTTTGAATTCAAAAAAGTAAATGTATATTGTCATGCACTAAATAAATGAATAAAATAAATAAATAAGCCTTTTGGAATAAGGATAAAATGAAACAGAAAAGCTCATCCACTTATTCTTGTAACATTAAGCATTATGATTTTTTTTTTTAGCTGAATTCAATGTGACTTTTAGGCAGAGCATCTTAAAAAGAAACAGATGGGCTACCTTCCTCATCCACCCCCAGCCATTGGTGGAGGATTTGGACCTCCAAAGTGGGTTATTCGGCCCATTCTACGACGAGGAACTCCTGGAGGTCTAAGAGAAACAAAAGATCAAATTAAAAAGCAGCAATTTCCACCTGTGGTCATATTTGGGCATCACAGTAATGCAGATTAAAAATTGATTTAATGTGAGCAAAGTATATAGTCAGGTGTGCTGTTCACTTGTTAACGGATATGATTGTATTTCGGTAACCCCATTAAATTAGACAAGAACAGAGATTTCTTTTCCAAAGCAGAAAAAAACCAACTAACTCATGGTTTATAATTGGTTCATTAGAAAACAAATACCAAAAATAAGAATTAAGTACAAGTAGTCCTTGACTTATAACCTTAATTGAGCCTGAAAAAGATAAGTTTAGAGACCACCGGGTATCTCTAAGCTACAAGTATTCTCTTCTGTTGTTATGATCTTAAATAGTGGCAGTCATTAAGCAAGTCATCACTTGACCAACCCAAATTTATCATCTTTTTTGTCATGGTCATTAAGCTAATAAACCAGTTTTCTTCATTGGGCCTTCTTTTTTGAAAATAGAAGTAAATATCAGAAAATGGCAAAAAACAACAGAAATCATAATTATGTGACCAAAAATGGTCATAAATGCAGCCAGTTTCCAAGCATCCAAAATTGAGCAGGTGACCATGGGAGTATGTGCATCTGTCAAAATTACAGAATTTGACTTTAAGCAGCTCTGGAGAGGTTCATAGATATGTGAAGACTTCATATATGCCTGTGACGATAAACAAACCATAACAGAGTAGAAATTCTCCTGGCAGGAGGAAGCAAGCAAGAAAAATTATGTAGCCTGGTCTTTCATGAATTTAGCTTTGAATCTTAGAAGACATAATCTGATGAATGTAGCAATGCATCTTTTTATCATTTTTGCACTCAAAATCCATTATACTTAAGTGTGGAAACGTAACTTATAATGGAGATGCTACAGAAGAGCTTAAGCTTTATAAATATGTAGACACTCCGAAAAAAACACAATGACTTTTAACCATTGCACCCCAATTTTTCATACTATATTTTATCTAAATTAAAGTGAAAATAAAAGCAATACCCTCTTCCATCATCGTATCTTGAAGAAGAGGAAGATGTGTAGCCTCTCCTCAAATCTGGGTGGATAATGCTCTGAAAACTAAAATGAAAATATCTATTAATTGAAAGATGTGAAATATTCAGTAGTTTTACAACTATGTGCAACATTTTTAAAATAACTAATGCTAAAGATCAAGCAATTGGTTGTTCTAAATTTATTTTCCAAACACAGAAAGAGATTGAAATAGAACTGAAAATAAAATGTTATTGTTAGCAGACCCCTCAAAACCAAATACAAAATTTATAAGCTGACAATAAAATGTGACACAATCAGTTAACAGAATTTTATAACGCAAGGCTTAAATAAATGAAGTTAACTATCCTATATAAATAATTTTCCAATACTGTGTAACAATGGACAATAGTCAATATATAATAAAACTTGGAGAACCCAGCCTTAGGTAACTTATAGCTTTTTCTGGATGGAACTATTTAATGTCTCACTACATCATCCGTTTCTTCATTTGCTGAATTGAAAAAGAATAGCTAAAATATCCAAAGACTTAGCATATATAACATCTAAATAGTATTGCAGACTGATAGGTGAAATAGGCCAGCACTAGACATTTCACTGCCTGTGGAAGACAAGATAATATCACAATCACATTCCATATATAAATGGATTATAACAGTAGCTGAATTCCATTTTGTTGTTCATGAGAAAATATGATCCTGGATCAGAAAACATTGTCAGGAAATGCGGACCAAGCTACAGTACCCAATTCTTTGTCTCCACTATTTTTCATCACTCAAGGCACATTCATGTTGCCTGATGGCAGAAGGTTGACCTTTTAAGGAACAGCCAACATTTCTTAATGTTAGAAATTAGGAATGTTAGAAATTTTAAAGTTATTTAATCCATTTGATCTTTTAATTAAATAAGGATTCAGGGGTGTAACAAGCACAATCCAGTTTGAGGGACAACTATTCAACTTTCTCCGGATATTCAGAGACATTGTTAGTTTTTCGAAAAACTCCCATTATACAAGGAATTCTATATATAAAGAAGCTGTATTTATTTGTACATATCTAAATTACTTTATAAATCTTAGAAATGTACCGTTGAAAATTCAGCCTTGTTTGTAATTTCCTTTCACATCTTTTAAGACATTGACTATATGTTTTCATCGATTTTAATCAAAAACTCCACAAGAAGAGCAATAAGAATGAGATTTTTCTATTCCATTTGAGTTTTTGCTAAATAAATGTAACTGTAAAATGCATCCATTATATATACTAATCTATTCAGGCCTGAAGTGTCTCAAGGGGAATAATAACAGCATTGTTTTTATTTGAGGGAAAAACGCCACTTACAACATAACTATGAAATCTGCTATTCCCCAGAAGAAGTCAGTTATAGATGACAAACTCCATGCAGCCCGACTCCGGTTATCCAAAACTTGTCCTACAACAGAGAACAAACAATGATGATTACGCTTTTGAAATAATAGCGGCAATAATCCTACACCATAATAAAAGAGCTGATCATGCAATAATATTAATCGTTTGTTTATAAACCCAGGCATGCCCATTCCTTTCATTGTTCAGGATAATATACTTCCAGAAGCGATCAATCAAAGCAAAACAGAGCAAAAAAATGACCTTTAATAAAAACGCCATGATGCTGCAGAAAAGTGATTTCCAATTCCTTTCAATGCGTATTGCCGGGAGGACTCCAGCCCAATTTGTTACTCAAAGGGAAGGTAGCAAGCGGCCAGTCTTACCGATCGAGCCTGTAAACCACAAGGCTGTGTTGCGCCTTTGCTGCGCTGCTCCCGCCCTCCCTCGGGATCAAAGCCAGGCAAAAGAGAACGCTGAGACACCTGAACGTTCCCCCTCCCCGGGAAAGGGGCTCCCCTCCCCCGTCAAAAATCTCCGGTTCTCACCGTTCGAAATGTAAACCATCGCTTACGCCGACTCGCCACCGTCCCCGAGAGCGCCCGGCAATCCCCTAGCCGACCCCCTCGGTGTTCTTTCTCTTGCTCCGCCCCTTCAACCAAGGAAGTCAGCGGTGGGAAGTTTCCATTGGCTGAGAGCTCAGGTATGGCCCGTGGCGTCATCATCGTTTCGACACTTCCTTTCCCACCCCCTCAACTCCCCCCACCCGTCTCAGGAATATAGAGCTAGAAATATAGAAGGGATATGGCTTTGTAAAAAAAAAAAAAAGGAGATTCGAACGCCCATCACTTTAAAATGCTCATTCTGCTTAGTGTATCTCTGCCTAAATAAATGTTGGACGAGGCATGATTGAAGTACGAAACACTTTTGGATGTTGCTTATAGATTTTTGGCTGCTAATCGTGAAGATAATTCAATCTATTACATAATGTTTTATTGACATATGTTTTTACACAATAGCAATGTATAGGTAGTCCTCAACTTACAACAGTTCATTAAGTGGTTGTCCGAAGTTACATTGTCACTGAATAAAGTGATTTATGACCATTTTTCAGACTTGGCAACCATTGCACCAGAGGTGGTATTCAGCATCTGGAGAACCAGTAGCGGAAATTTTGAATAGTTTGGAGAATCGGTGAATAGAACCTCTGATTGGCCCATCCCCATGTATTCTCTGCCTCCCAAGTCCCAGCTGATCGGGAGGAAATGGGGATTTTGCAGTAACCTTCCCCTGCCATGCCCACCAAGCCATGCCACGCTCCAGTGGTGGGATTCAGCCAATTCGCACCTATTCGGGAAAACCGGTTCTTTTTTTTCTTTTTTTCTATTTTTTTTTAAATGTTTTTTAATTTTAGTTTGACACGGGTATAGCATCTTTCTTAATATATCAATCGATTACAAATAAGTTTTGGTACATCTCCTCCACAGTCAACCAACGTAACTCATATTAACTCAAGCATTATTATATATCCATTTTCATTTAACTGTAATTATTATTTAGGAGTATTGGTAGGAGTAATAATCTTGAACAATATCTACCCACACCGATGGGAAGGGAGAGAAATCAAAAAAAAAAAGAAAAGAAAAAAAGAACAAATAGAAAATAAAAATTAAGATAAAAAATAGTAGATAATACAAAAAAGACAAAAACAATAATCAGGAAAACAAAACAAAACACAGGTGTCTGTTATGAAAAGAAAAAAAAGAAGTATATCAACTGA